CTGTTCAGCGCCGCTTCATTCGAAGCTTGAAGCTAAAAGATATGCATGATTCATATCATCGACTATGGCTTAACTCCCTTTTCAAAAATTGAGCCCGTACATGCTCAGACTCGAGCTAGTGTTCGGGTTTGAGATCTTGAACGTGTCTCCCTGCATACATGGTGCACAAGCCGCCCGGCCATGTACCACTCAGGATATAGACTTGACTCATCAGAGTTGCAACTTCCGTCCCAATCAGGCGTACAGAGTTGTATCAGGCGTACAGAGTTGTTTCGGCGCATACACAACAGGAGTCACCCGCAATTATCGATATAAAGTCGTCCCACCACAATCGTTCAACACCCTACAAGCGCAGCCAATACCTCATCGGACATAGCTAGTAGCATGGCTCCACCAGGGCCCCACTGTCATCATATATTGCATATGTCGAAGTGCGCTCATGTGTCTAGTATCTACTCCCAAGCCGTACGAACCTGGACGCTGGTAACATGCTACTCATGCAACAGATTCTAGCTAAGATGCAAGCGACACCAGAAGAATCCGTGTTCTCTATCATCAACTTCGACTTATTTCCTCAACTCGAGCTCAGAACCACGCCAACATCACAATGTTCCAGCAAATGCGGAAGCTTGCAGTTAAAGCGTTACATGGGTGAGGCATCGTGTCAAAACATATGTGCAGTGGCGTCCGGAACTCCGGTTTCCGCAATTTTTCTGGAGGTGCTGGTGGCCGGTTCTTAGAGCTCCGCCAAGATGAGTCGAGGGGGCTGGTGGCCGGTGCCCGGCTGAAATTTGCTGATAAACGTTAGATCGTTCCAAGTACCTGTGAACTTCCGCGTATTAGCGACTGATCAACCTCGTATGTGTGTACTTGACCCTATCAGCCCCCTGCAAGAGGCGGGGGATTACGGGGCCACATTAACCGACCAGTCTCGAACCAATTGGTCTGGCACGAATATCACCACAATAACATAAATCCAGAGGCTCTTTTTTGCCTTTTACAAGCCAACTGCGGCGCCGAATCGAAGAAAAGTAGCTGAAAAACCTCTGGTCATGTTTCGACAATCAACAAGTAGATATTGCAGGCTCCATCCCCTTATATCCGGTTTACATCGATCCAGAACCGGGATATCCCTGGTGGCCGGTTTTTTCAAGTTATTTTTCGGTCGTACCCCCCTGGTGGCCGGTTTATTTTTCGGAGTTCCGGACGCCCTTGCACAGATGTTTTGACACGATGCCTGAGTGTCACTATACGACTTCTTGCTATGAAAACCTAGGCATTCAGCATGAGAGTCGCATAGATTCAAATCTTATGCATGGCTGTACGACTGTACCGGCCTGCAACTCCGACTTACCAGCCAAAAAAGCACAGAGCATTGACCATGCGCTTGTTGCATAGTTGGCAAACCCCTCTTAAGTTGTTGTGAAGAACATTGTTGTGATCACAACAAATTTGATGCCCATGCCACAAGGCGCAAAAGCTGCGTCTCGGCAAGTCTTAGAGCAAGTACAAAAGATCAATCTTCCTATTCAGTCTGAGCAACGAAGTTCCAGCTGTTGCAACAATTGTCTCTCCGGTTGCTGCTCCTCTGGCTGAAGGTGCAGACACAATCGCATTTGGAAAGTCGAAGCTCAGTTTATACTTTTGAGCTCCTCAATACAGCTTCAAAACGAGACAAGGCCCCGGTACTCTTTCCAGAACTGCAAAATGGTCAGTCATCGTGCCCTTGGGCCTTGGCAAAAGGGTCGAAATAACAGTCAAAAGCTGCTCGCAATCAAAACTGATCTCCGGCATTGGTGCGGGCAGTTACCAGCTCTCGAACTTTGCTTGTTAAAATCAGGGCTCAAGTGAAAAAGGAACGAGATCGAGACACTTCCTTCAAGGCTCCTAAGCTCTCACCATAGAAAGTAAGAGGACTTTTAAGCGGCGGCAGGAGCACGGGCTTGTTGACTTGACGTCAAGTTCGTGACTCTTCAGGCTTCTGCTTCCAACCAAATGCACTGTCAGAAACAGCAAAAAGGCAAACAGTACCGATATACGGAACGCATGTACTTCAAACTACCAGACACGCAAACCTAAATGCTGGGGAAGGGCAAGAAGCTGATATACCACTTTGTTCTCGGAAATGAAGTAGCCAGAATGAAGTACTGAGTGCAATGGTGTTACTTCCAAGTTGCGATATGATCAAGAGAGCTCTTGAACAGCACGGTGAGGCTTCGCATGCAAATTTTAGGACACAACTTAGGTCATCGTGCTGATGATCTTTTGAGTTGCTCATAAAAAGCAAGGGGAACTTCAAACTCCACACAAGCACTCCTGAGTACAATTTCTGCTTGAACGAGCATCAAGTAACTCTTGAGAGAAGATGCGGAACGACACTGGGTTCCAGTGCTCCTTAGTAACAGACACAACTACAACGGTCGAACTGCCTCAGATGCACAGGGAGTTGGGTTGGACCAATCTTTAGCCTCTTCAAAGATAAAAAGCTGATCTGGACACACCCAAGTGTTGGCTTAGGAGCAATCCGGGCTTCGCTCCCCAGAGTGCTTGGGCTCCGAACGGGACGCACATGACAGATCTGCTATCAGGTGCCCAACGAAACCTGCAGGGGCCGCCTTCGCCTGACTCCGTTGTTTGCATTGGTGGGGAGGAAAGATGATTGTTGAAAGGATGCAGAGGAGGGATCCCTTTGCTTGCGGTTATTGCACCAGAAGGTGCTGGGGGGGCTTGTCCCACTGTCGCTCCGTACTCGCCCAAGATGCTCTCTTGCCTCCTCATACCGACAGACTGGGATCTATCAGAGGAGTTATAAAGAATCGATGGGTTTCAGAGTGCTCATTGCACATGCGGCAGAAATGGACAATACCGCAAGACTCACCGTCCCGTGCAAGACTGCTACTGACTCACACCAGTAGCTGTGCTTGCTGCAACAAGTGACTTGAAGGGTGTGAAAGGAGGACTTTCAGGCGTTCGTGCAATCCTGCATGTGAAACATCCTTTTATGTAGCTCACAGCGGTGATGACTTCATACACTTTGCAAAAGGCTACCTCAGCAAGGAAGACCGTGGCAAAAGGCAATAAAGGCTGCAAGTGGACTTCGCACTTCCAGCTTGAATTGAAGCTTGATGCATAAAAATTGCAGGCAGTGGAGGCTGCTGGCATCTACAGGACTTTCTTTGGCTACCTGATGTGAACCTGCCAGGACAATGTTGAACAAGTACTATGTCCAACGAATTAAAGGAGTATTTCAAGAAAAGCGCAGACACATCTCAGACACATATGCAAATATTGGTGAACAATTTTCAAAAGCCATCAGGAAAAGGGCGCCGCCAAATGCACCGACCACCTGGAAGCCTGCAGCAAATTTAGCTAGAAGTTCTGTAGATGTGTCCTGTGTGGAGTCCTAGTAGGACCTCTGCCCTAGGTATGCCCCGACTCCTGAGCAGGCAATCCAGCAACTTACCGGTACGCCTGCCAGCACCACGAAGCGCAGCCCTTGCCATGATTTGCATGAACAGGTTATGCAGTGGTAGATATCAATATCTGCCGTTGTTCAGCTGCTTTCACTTTTCTTACCATTTAGTATTTGATTACGAATTTCTCTGGCCGGTACACCATATTGCAAATCAAAAGAACCAGGGGTTTAGCAAAGTGGTTACACTGACCAGTCCCGAACAAAGAAGGAAGCAGCTAGCTACAGTAATCCAGTTGTCCAAAAGATTTCGATCTTGATATTTCTAGATAATAGAGGACAGTCAACACAATGACCATTGAAGCACCGGTCGTCGAACCACGTTACGCAGAAAGTTGGGACTTACCCAAGCCTGTTTGCAATTTGGTTTCAGCTGAAGATATTTTGGGTTTGCATGCGCACGCATACCGGTAGAAGGTACCAGTATTCAACGTTCAATAAAAGAATCCAAAAAGGCGGGAAATGGTGAGAAAACGGCTCCGCATTTGAACCAGTATTATATATCTAACAAACGGGCAGTACAACAATTCAAACTGGAAAATATCTCGTCTCTGACTCTGAGTCAAGGAGGTCAAAGGAGCTAGGGTTGAAAGAGAACGGAAGGAAGAGGGTGGGCTTTTTGGGTCCTTGTCAAAATCACCAGTTGCCTGACATGCGGTATCCTCAGGCGCCAGTCTGCCGCACCCGTACCCAACTCTTACCCGTTTGCTGCAAGCGCCACAATGCTGCCCGTGGCAGGGCTGAGCGAGCTTTGTTGCGCGCAGCATTATGCTTTGAGTAGCTGTGGTGCCTTCTGCTGGCAGCAGCTTGGTGGCATGCCTTCGCCGCTCGCTGCAAAGGGTGCTGCGTTTCACCAGTCCGGAGGGAAACCCGCGGAACCCTTACCTTCAAGATGCAATGGTGGTGCACGATGGCATGCGGGCGATCTCGATGAAGTGGGTTGCTGTAGCTCTTCTGGCGCTCAAACAGAGGCCCCATCTTCCCTAGGGTCTGGTTGGAGATCGAGGGGAGCCTCCCGTTCTTTTGGGTGCTTTCCATCAGAAAAGCAGAGACAGCAAGAAAAGGCAGGAAAGCCCCGGTTACAATGTAGGAGAGTTGGAATCCTCGGGCAGAAATTTGATAATCATTTCTGCGGCCATAGCTTCACAGCCGCAAATGCATGCGAAAGCAGAAGGAAAGAAGGCGGCACACAAAGGCCGCAGGCTACTCCAGTCTTTCCAGACACATTGGAGGCGCTAGATTGTGAGGGGCTTTCTGGCAGCAACCGCAGTAATGAGGCAGGCACTCAATCGGACTTGCGAATAGGAGAGGAGTCGCCAGCGGGCCCTGAGTTTCGGCAAGCAGTGACCAGGTTCGCCTCATTTTGTGCGGCCATTCTACTTGCGTCCACCTCAGTGCCACCAGCCCAGGCCACTGCTGAGCCGTCACACACATTGGAAGAATTTTTCACTCATAGGGGAGCTCTGTCCGACCCCACTTTGAGAACAGGAGGTGATGAGTTGATGACTAGAACAGGTTCGGCACGCACTGCATATCCATTGACTGCCCCCCCAGTAGGACATGACGAGTCAGCTTTGACACACCACACGCCCGGGTTACCCCCAATTCATGCAGGCGTCACCGTTCTGCACTCGTTGCATCCGCATACTAGCACCCGGCATAGGAGCTCAGAAACTGGTCACATTGGCAAGTTAGAAAGTAGCATTGGGGACACTGCCGAAAGCAAGGATGGGGAACAGAGAGTGGTCGGTAACCCCGTAGAGAAGAGTCTACCGGCTGCGTCTCCGGATCTTAACCCAGAGGTTAATGCTAACCTCGTCCTGGAGGCATGGAACGTTGTGGATCAGGTCTACCTCGATGCGCGGGGCAAGGGGTTTGATCGCGAAGCTTGGGCGGTCAGTTCTAGTCCAACCATTCTTACTTCGGTCGTGGGTTCTCTGTTTGCCTTCCCTTCCTCTTCTTGGCAGAAAACTGTGCACAACTCTTTTTTCTTGGGTGTGCTTTGAGACTGAGAATGTCCGAAAGTAAGAGCTGTATTGTAGTGTCAACCTGGCAAGGAAGGGCACTACGGCGCCTGCTTTTGAGACGTTTACCTAGTACTCTTTAAAGACAACTCTTCGCAAGCTGCTTCTCTAAGAGCGGTTGAACACTCGCTGCCCTGCTCTCTGTGCCGGAAGGAAGTGCCTTCTATTGTTGCTTCTTGAAAAGAGCGAAAGCATCTCATTGTTCTGCATAAACCTCTCAGTCCCGACAATTCTCGAAATGTGCGATTAACCCCTGGCGAAAGTCAGGCAGATCCGGATGCGCAGAAAGCGTCCTTCTGGATTCCCCCATCTACCAGGCACAACGGATTCTTGTACCTTCCAATTCGTTGTGGACTATTTCTGAGAATCTTCGATTGGCTGTTCTGCTCCGATTCAGGCCAAGCGGGATGAGGCCCTGAAGCACCCCATCAGGAGCCGCATTGCTGCCTACTCCGCCATTCGGGGCCTGTTAGGCAGCCTGCATGACCCCTACACTCGATTCCTCGCTCCCGACCAGGTAAGCGTTGGTCCGCTGGACTTCCCCACAGTAAGGAACGACTAGAAAGAGACTCATTAGAAAGCTTTCAAGAGCCGTCCAAACCAAGTTACCTGCATGGTGACTTGAAGTGCGTCAGTTGTGCCCTTTTGATCAAAGCGGCCGGTTATTTGAGCTGTCACATCGTCCACTTAAGAAGACCATACATGCTACCAGAAGCTGCGCAAAGATGGGCTTTGTTATGCTTTGGACGCATGTTTTCAGAGCAGTTATTAGATGATGTGTTACCGCGCAAAAATCACTATGTTGAAACTCAACAGACAATACGTGTTCCCAGGCAACGGGTCTGGCGACTCCACATCAGGTCTAGTCGTCAATCCTGCGAGGCTGTGACAGCCGTTCGATCTGCCATAGTTGAAAAGAATCTGGCTTCGGTTCCCTTTTCTGTTGGACATTTATCGGCAGGCCTTCGTCTTTCCGACCGAGCAGAACAGCTTGAATCAAGTATCTGTTTACGTTACAAGAATATTCGGCCGATCATATGGGGGTGTTCTCATGCTCCTCGAGTCTGCAGGACTTTTGCTCCGCACAGAATCGGTACTGATCTGGTGGCTAACTCAATTCAAGCAGAGACGGAAATCGTTTTTGCGCAAAGAAGTCACTTGCCTATTTCCTTTGACCCGCAGTTCCAGGCTCTATCCAAGTTTGACGTCAGCGGCATCGGACTCAATATGGGCGAGGTAGACGATGACGCCGGGGTGACGTCACTACGGGTCCTGGGAGTCGTGCACGATTCAACCGCGCACGCAGCGGGGATTCGGCAGGTGCGTCTTAGAAACCTCGATATTCGTCAACAACGGGTGCGGTCAAAAGGCAGTGATCGTTAACGTTGTTGATTTTGCCGATGACTCGGATGACGTGCTTGTAAGGTGTGTCTCTCGCCCATGCTTCTTTGCTCGGTATTTTTGTGTTCTGAGGGATCCGGTTGGTCCTGAACATGCACGACTCATCGCACGCAGCGGTTTTTGGCAGGTGCGAAGCGAAGGCCTCGACTCTGGCCTTTATCATTGAGGGGTGCGGTCAGATCGTTTGACTCGTCAGTACTATCGTCGGCTGTTCTCAGATCGATGTGCCTCTGAGGCTTTTCTCTTTCTCATGCTTCTCTCTTCTTGGTCTGTCTGTTTTTTGAGACTTCTGTGTACTGTCTCGCTGTCTATGACCAGAGTTCGACTGGTTCATTGTCGCTCTTTTCTCGGGCTCCAGAGAACCTGACCTTCATGAGTCAGGTTAAGACAAGTTAAAATCACGTTTGACAGGGCAATGAGCTTCTCTCGGTGGGGATTATCTCTGTCACGCTCAAGGCCGCCTTCAAATCCACGTTGCGCATACAAGGCCCCTTGGAAAATGAGCATCCTGCGACTTCAAAACTCCTCCCTAAACAGACTCGACTTGGGTAGACCCCCGTTCTTGATCGTTCACAGGGCGACGAACGATGGAGGCGCTTGTATCAAGGTCAATTGCCCCCAAGCGATTTCCGAAATCCAGGGCTTCGTAGGCCAACCCATCACTTCGCGCCCCTGATTCCCCTCGTTTTACAAGATTTACAACGGGCTGTTGGAAACGGAATCTCTTACTTTGGTCGTTTATAGGGCGACGCAGTCTTTCTGGTGGAGGGCGTTTATGTCAAGGGCAAGTCCGCAACCTCTCTTGTTCTGCTACCCGATCCAACCGGCTTCTGCCGCTACTCTCTTGACTCGACTTGCCTACGTCGGGTGTTTCAACTCCAGTCCTCGATGGTTTGCAGAGCGACGAGCTTCGCTCTGTTGGCGGCGTCTTTGTCAAGGGCAAGTCCGCCTTCGAAGCCACGTCCGTGATCCGGGGCCTGGTAGGCCTACCACTTCCACCAAAACCAAAAACTTCACACTAGGTTCATGTCAACTCAATCTCTCCCTTGGTCGTATACAGGGCAACCAACTCCTTCAGTCGGCGGCGGCGGCGTCAAGGGCAAGTCCGCCTTCAAAGCGACCTCTCTGATTCAGAGCCCGGTCGGTCAATCGGTCACTCCGCAAATCCAGATTTAGAACCTTAGTAATGGTTCTCAATGGGCTCAATTTTTTCCTTGGTTTACAGGGCGACGAACTCCTTTCGGTGGGGGGCGTCTTTGTCAAGGGCAAGTCCGCCTTTGAAGCCACGTCCCTGATCCAGGGACCGGTCGGCCAACCGGTCACTCTGCAGCTGCAAAGACCGACCGGGGAAACTTTCGAGGCTGTCATTCCGAGGGGGAAGGAAGCGCAGCAGCCGGTCACTTACAAGCTGCAGAAAGACGCGGAGGGGCGGCCCGCGGGGTACGTGAAGCTGCGCGACTTCAGCGCGCTCGCAAAGAAGGGGGTCGTTGACGGTGAGTCATTTTCTTAATCTATATGTTTCGGTTTCTCTTGTTTACTTGAGATAATAACATGGAAGACCGCAGATGGTAAATAAAAGCTACGCAACCTCAGCGCACTCGCAGAGAAAGGTATCGTTGAGGCGGATTTTATAACTGGTCGGACGACCTTCTTGCGCTTCCGGTCGTTCGGTAAGAACGTTCGACTTCCGCTTCACAACTCGTCATCTATGCGATGGGCCAACGAGTTGCTTCAAAGTGTTCATTTCTAGCAGTTGCCTATTCAAGCTTCACTTAGCTGGAAATTAAGCACAGCCGTCTCCTTACCGACTGTTCTACTTTGGCGGGAAGCTTTGATTCCTTGGCCCCATAGCCCATGCATCCGCTCTGACGCTGGGCGCGCCCCGTGGTGCATCACTGGTTTCGATACAGGACTTGAATTAGGACATGTCATCGAGTGTCTTTGACGACATTTAATTTCTACACAGCTCCCAGTCCGGGTAGGCGAACACGGAAGTCGAACGATATTCAAAGTTGGCACTGCGAATTCTGAAATCGAACGTTTTCGATGATGACCACTCGCGCCTGTTGCAGCGGTGGAGAAGCTACGCGAGGCCGGGGCGCAGTCGTTCATTCTGGACCTGCAAGATAACCTGGGGGGATTGGTCCAGGCCGGAATTGAGATCGCCCGCCTGTTCTTAGGCGAGGGGGAAACGGTAAGCGTCTCTCTGCTCCATATTCTGACCACCTTTTTTCAAGTTTCGTGACCCGTTTCTTCTTCGATGGCGGTGCTAAGAGCGTGCTTAGCCGAGGGGGAAATGGTAAGCGTTTCTTTGCTCCATATTCTGACCGTCTTTTTCCAAGTTTCTGACACCGTTTTTTCTTTAAAGCGGTGCGAAGAGCAGACACTGCCCGCCTGTCCCTGGGCAAGGGAGCTTCGTCTATTTGACATTTCTTTTGTATCTTTTGACTCCGCCTCCTTCTTAAGGTTCGAAAGGTGGACACTGCTCGCCTGTCCCTATGTGGGGGAGAGACCGTGAACCTCTTTCCGGCCTTACTCTCATCTACTTGTACTCGACTTCCCCTTCTGGCTCCTCTTGATTTTGGCAGAATAAGGCGACGTAAGGCATCTGGCCACAAAGTTGCGCCCAGGCGAGTAGAGCGTTCTGGTCTCTCATTCAGTCCGCAACCTGCGGGGCCTGATGCAGGCCGGAAATATAGATTGCTTGCTTGTTTCTAGGTGACTGACAAACATGGAGTGGTTTCAGCCTTGATCTTATCAATTCTCTTTTCAATCGTTTTTCCTCCCCCTCCTCGCTACTTTGGCAGCAGGACAAAACATGACTTGGCTTTCTCGCTTACTTGCATAAGGCTGGTGCATGTTTCGCTCCTTCGCGTTTCATGAGGGACTCTCTTTCTTCTTCACATTGGAGAATCTGCAAATTCGAACGACGGGGGAACGCCGTTTGGCCCCGTGGATTCGTGACGTCTCCCCGGTTCCAGCCTGCAACTTCCTCTATCTTTGGCAGAGTTCTTCCACTTCTGAGATTGTTGCCACTACCATTCAAACGCATGGAACTTGGAGTTTCGTTGCCAGAACCAGGAAATTGTGATGGCGTTTTCGGTTTTCAGACCTCCTCCCTCTGTGGTCCTCGGTTTGCTTACAAGGGCGGGAAGGCGCTAGAGAGCGAGACGTGTGAGTGGGGCCTTTTCCTTGAGATTGAATTACAGGAGAGGCACAGCGAGCTTTTCACAAAGCCACACACAACGCAGTTTTTCAGACAGGCTGTATACACAGTGGAGCAGACGCCCGAGACTCAAGTTGTCATGGCGCAGGGGCGGGCCCGACCTTGAGCCGCTCATTATCCTCCCAGATAACATTCGTACGTGATCTTGTACAAATCAAGGAAAAAGGTGAAGAAGAAAGGCAGAAACGTAAACAAACGTGCTTCGCTGGGAGCCTTCACGCTGGTTTTATCTTTTTACAGGTTGCATAACGGTTGGGCGAATGCCCGAGATCCAGTAGAACGTCCTGGCCCCGGGTTTTGCCCTCTTCTTCGTGCTGCTGATCGTCCTTTCTCTGAGGGCGTGCTGATTGCATATATGACAGTCGATTGAGAGCAAACGTGTTGCCATCAAAGCCCCACACCAGTCCTCAGACCGAAGCCTTTTCCCCTAAGGTTGTATACACAGTCGGCCGGACCCCCGAGACCCAAAAGAACGTCCTGGCGTAAGGGCCGGCCGTCTGTTCCGCGCCTTTGACCGTCTACATGAACGCGTGCGCGCAGATTCCTCAGCAGGAGAGTTGCAGATAGCCAATTCATAACTTTAGGAGCCTCACATTCGGTATCTCCTACAGGTTGTGTACACAGTCGGGCGGACCCCCGAGACCCAGAAGAACGTGCTGGCGCAAGGGCAGGCCCTGTTTTCTGCGCCGCTGATCGTCCTGGTGAACGAGAGCACCGCCAGCGCTAGCGAGATCGTGGCTGGAGCGCTGCGCGACAACTGCCGCGCGCTGCTCGTGGGGAACAAGACGTACGGGAAGGTCAGAGAGCAACTTTCATAATCCATCTGTTCTCTGGACTGGATGTTCTTAGCTCGGGGTTTGACATTCTGCAGGAGGTTGGTGTGCAAGCGGCCGCTCTCGGATGCTCTCTTTCCGCTTGAACAATCTGTCTGATGATGCTTTTGGACTTGGATTCCTTTTCGGACTTGCTTCTTTGAATGCTGGTCAGCTTCAAGTGCTGCTAAACGAGGCAAGTTTGGGGCATCCGCATAGCTTGAGGTGCTGTGTGCTTTTCGAAAATGAGACTTCTCAACGTACATATGGATGCGGACATGACTTGCAGACCGCACACCTTAGACAGTCTTTTGACCCTGCAGCAGTTCGAAGCTTCTCTTCAAGCGGGTATCGAGGCTGAAAGCTTTAAGGCTCTGCTTGCTTTTCTACGGCTTGCAGAGTTGCGTGCATTGCTGTATTCAACCAGTCCCAACTCATTATTCTATAACTTGGTACATTCTCTACAAAAGTAAGGTGTTAGTCCTAGAATCCCTATACCTGAGCGCTCAGAAAAAGCTGCTGGTCTTTGACATGACTCCAATACGTGCCGTCCTCCTTCACAGCCTGACAAAAGACGGGCACCCATTTTCACTTACCCCTCAACTTACCCGTGTTTTGACCCGCGTACTAACCCTATTAACCCTCCTGATTTTCAGGGCCTAATCCAGTCGGTGTACGAGCTAAGCGACGGGTCAGCTCTCGCCATCACTGTCGGAAAGTACATAACACCTGGCCACATCGACATCGACAAGTACGGCATCGAGCCCGACTTTCTCCGGACTCCAGGTAAGGGAACCTTCCGGATCCCTAGGCTCTGCGTTTGCTCTGTCGTCTACCGGGAGTTTTGGGTCCTAAGAATAATGTCGATGATCTTTGAGCCTTTTTTCGCTCATCTTCGGGCGGAATACTTGTGGTAACCGGTCGAAGGAAACAAGGGAACGGCACAAAGGAGTCTTCAACGTAGACAGCGAAGAAGAATTGCAGAAATACCTCGTCCCTGGCTGCTTGCGTTACTTCCGGTATATGGCCACCGTATCCTCATCGCGCCTCCTTTGAATGAGCGGCCGGAATAGTCCAAAAGTTGGCCAGTTATCGAACCTGAGGCGACGCCTAGTTGTGCGGAAGGGGACGAAAGTTGATCGAGGCCTGCATCAAGATTCCCTAAGTTGCTCTCTGATGTTGTCGACTCTCAATCTCAGACTGCTGATGGAGAGATATCGCAAAGAACCCGGATTCTCGCTACATGAGGTGCAAGAATAGCTAAACGTTACATGTGGAAGGGAGCAGGCTGGGTTGCCCGATCAAGTAAGAAAAAGAAACTGATTGACGTGCCTCGTCGGCTTTGCAGGGCCATTCAATTGGTTCCTCCCCCTGCCGAGCGTCAAGGAGAGTGAGGGCAAGCTGAAGTCGTGTGTCCCGCCAGAGATAGGGCCACCGAAGCTGCCTTCGGTGGCCTCTGTTGTCAAATCATAGGACACTCGTACAGTAAAGCGATTTGTTATGTAGCCAGACGACTTATTGGCGAGGGCGGATTGGGGTTCATTGTGCAGACATAGATGAGTTTGAAACTCCGAGATTGACGGATGCGTGAATTTGATTTGCAGCCGAAACGGTTGCGCTTCCATTAGCATCACTGAGGTCGGTCAGGTAGCTTTGCATGCAATCCAATGTATGTCGAGGAAGCGGCCTGTCGCTTGGATTGCATGCACAAGGGGCGACGTCACTCTCCTTTCGACCAAGTTTGTTTGTGCATATTGACTGTTGGAATCGGTGTAGATGCCTGGCCGCTCCAGCTAGTTGAAGTTACCAAACTTGAAACGGATTTGAAGCGCGGCTTCAGAGCGCAATGAGAATGATCCAAGTACGGTAGGAATAACTTAATGCACAGACTCAACAACGACATATCAGGCCCATTGAACATATAGACGTTCTATGCATGCAGGTTGCCAATGGCTCATCACTCTAGTATATCATGTATTGCGATGGATGCGCAAATACTGAGGTATATATCGAGAGTATACGCACATGTCATATCTATTGATTGTCCGACGGATCGTCTAGCTCTTGAGTAAGCTAACACCTACCTAATTGACTCATGCAAGTTAAGGCGCGCTCTCTGATCGCGGGTTACGTACTTGATGCATGCATGCGGAGCCGGCCTGAAGCCTGCTAGGCGCTGCGCGCTGGCAGTACTTAGTATGATACAAAGGCCACCGTCACACCCGGCATCATGCATATCCGAAAGTCAATTAAGACTTTTGTCGGCACCGGTCTGGCGCCACGAGCTCATGTGAGGATGGGATAATGCACGTTCCAACGTATGCTAATGTCCGACTCTTTCAAGGGACTTTTAATCCGACGGGCCAATGATCAATCTGATTGATCCAAACATTGTATGTGGCATACATGATTGCTGCGAGAGATCGAGGCCGGGCTGCACAATATCGTTTCCTGAACGATACGGGGCGGCAGCTTTGCCGTGCATGACTCTTTCGTAGAGGTATTAACTCTAAACATTGTCCAGTAACCTGCTTAGTGCTTACTACTTTCTAGTTGCCAATTGCATGAAAGAGGGCTTGAACCATTATTCTACGACGTGGGCGTTTCACACCACTTGCTGAAGACTTCATCCAAGAAGAGCCGATTCAGATGCTCAGTACTGTCCGTATCTTTCTGTCCTGTTTTTTTGGACCACCGCAGCGCCAGTTGCTCTTGCTTGCAAGTTGCCAGTGTGGAAAGGACGGTCTCAAAAGCCTCTGCCGCCTCTTTCTTGAGACCACCCGTTTTGTCCGCTTCAAGCAGGATTGGCAGAACGGAACTCAGGAACGAGAACCTGACGTTTCCCGGGACCAAGTTGTTGACGTCAGCGGTTGCTTCCAGGATGCGCACCGAGGTGTCTAGAATCAGAGAGTAGTCTCTAATCAAGATTGAAGACGCGATGTCCCTCTCTGACCAGAACTTGGCCAGATCGCAGATTCGGTGGGGCTCCATTCTAATCAGCTGGATAGTTGATAGATTTAAGACTCTGGCTACTTCATCTTTGCGACTTTGGTCCTTAGCCCCCTTGAAAGCCTCAACCTGGCGAGCCATGCTTTCCAACGGATCACTTAGTTGCGCTCGAGAAAGAGACCGCAGCTGCTCGCTTATAAACTTCTGGATTGTCCCCTCTGCAGAGATGTTCGCTGATACGCTGACCTCCTCAGATGACCACTTCTCAAGCAAATCCTGCTTTTTTGCCTGAGACAGCGACATGAACAGAGTTTCTACGCTCGACGGCTTGAAGTTTGCCCCCAGGAGCACAGCTTGTTCAAACCTCAGCAAGACTGGAAGCCAAATCTGCATCAACGTGGCTCTATCTTTCTTGCCAAATCCCGAGTTCTTGTCGCTGGCACAGATGAACAGCTTCTCCAAGGGTTCAAAGATCAGCTTCCCAAACATCTCGAGCAACGGCTTAGTGGCCCGATTATCGTACAGGCTGAACAGTTTCTGAGAGGATCCCGTCGCAAACTGCAGCGCTTCGTTGGACGTCCAGAAAGCCTCTACCGACGTAAGACCAAGTCCGTGTCTCAAGCAGAACGCAGTTTGCCAGCCCAAGCACGAAAGCTCGCGGATGAAGGGCCTTAGGTGCTCTTCTCTGAACAGAATCTCGAAAGAATCGCTTTCCCCACACCAGAATCTCAGGTTCATCAGTAGTCTCAGAGCTCGTGCAAAACTCAGCTTCTGGATCTGACCCTCGGCGATGCTTTGGACGGTCTTGGCATCCAGACCGATCCAGCCTGCATCTGCTTGCTCTTCTAGTAACTTTCTTGGCCGTTCTGTGGTTTTCACGGCGAACTGTTTGAAGAAGTAGAACGCGGATTTCTTTTGTTCATAAGTGGGGCCATCTGGGGAAATTGCCGCGTCAAAAAGGCCTCTTACAATCGCCTGCGCAGCAGCCTTGTCTTTGGGTTCCACGTTCATCCTTGCAGACAAATCAGGTCCCATCTCCAAAACCAAGCCTTTGAAGCAGCTTCCAATCGCCTCGCGGTCTTGCGGGGTCCACTTGGCTGCTTCCAAGAAACTCTTGCAGTGCTCTACGCCAAAGTCGTTCAAGAAGTAGCTGGAAGCCTCCAGAATTGAGAGAGCCTGTTTCACTCCTTGGAGGACTACTCGACCTACGGCTGGTTTGTTCAAAACATCACAATAGAGCAGCTGAAGAGCAAGCACGCTAGAGTCCAGATCCCCGCATCCGTCTACAGCCAGTTGTGGAATTTGGTCGGCGACCTTCGCAGAAGCAGCTTCCCAGCGCAGGAGAGCGGCAAAGAAGGGGCTGCCTTCTCTTAGAACTGAAGAGTGCAGTTCAAGCCTTCGCGGCATTACCTGCTTGCGTCTCCTTCTATGGGACTTAGCTGCGGCTCCCAGTTCCTTGAGTTTCAACGACACAATCACGTCTGGCTGCTCGTCTCCATTGACGAACTCGGCGCCTGCCAGGGGAAGAAAACTTTTACTCTCCATTGCAAACTTTGATTCCATTTAGCAGGAAGCCATCAAGTGACATCTTGAATTCACATGAACAAACGCGACTTAAGATGTTACATAAGTTGAACCACGCGTGACCGGAAGGTGACGTGTCTGGTGACGTGTCGGTTGGTTACCCGGATCGAAAACCCGTTTTTTGTCGCCGCTTCAGGCATCGCGGCCGCGTCGCCTTTCGAGCCCTTCCGTATTGAGTAACGTCAACTTGCAGGTAACTCTAAACAAGGCACGGCACATAGGAAGAGAACGTAGATGCTTTACGCGCTTCTCGAATACTCGCTTTCATGAACTTGCCAATACCGTGCATTCAAAGACCCTGGGTCGAATGATCCGGACAGAGGAATGAGATTTTTCGGAAAATCATCAATGCTCTCAACAGTTGTACCAGCTGAGGAACACCACCACTGGAATGACCACAAAATCAGCGACAAAGCCTATATGCTCATGTTGCGGCTCGAATGCAATCCACACGCAAACCCAGCTTCGTCCAAAATCATCCAGCACGGCCTAGAAAGCATTTTTGGATCCATGATTAGCGTGCTCGTGTCCGTGCATCCACATCGGCAGTACATTCAGTGTCTAGAGCTAGTCTCCGGGCATCCATGCCAGCCAAAGGAACTCAAGATCCGAAACTCATTCGAGCAATCTTTTGAGGTCACGTTTTGTGCAAATGCAACAAATTGCAGCTTGAGTACAAAGAAGAAGTTCTATCCATCGGCCCATGCTAAGCAAATCTGCACCGTCAAGAACCCGCCTGAAGTTTAATATTATGTAGAGTGCCACCCTTCGTGAATGCACGTCGAGCTGCATCATCGACTTTCTGTGACCATTAGTTCCACAGCCCGTCGATCTCGTCAATCACGTGGTGTGGGCCGCTCACAAAAGAATTCCGTGCCCTCATCCTCACTGGAAGAAGAAACATGAGTGAGCCGGGAGGTAGTTATCAGGTCTCAAAACAGGCAATCATATATAACCACTAGAGGATTCCATAGCTGCATTAGTCGACAGAAGGTATAACATTGTGCCTTATGAACGCATCCCAAATCTACATCAAGAGCAGCTAAGTCGTAAGTTCGCTCATAAGAGTCAGACAAGTCGAAACAATATACCAAATGATTCGATTACAGCTTCGAACCACGACAGGACCTCAATTTAAGCACCAAAAATACATTTTCACTCGATCTAGTTCCACGCTTGTTTTTATCTTTGATCAGACTGACATTTGTCATCATCCATATTCTTGTTATCTACCAAAAGGTCGTAAAAAGCTTTCACTTCTGACACCTCAAAGGTTCTCAGGTCCGCAAGTTGCGAGATTGCTGACCGCTATGCCGTCCGCGACTTGCACCACCTATCGAAGACTTGATCAAGTAGGAAACCGCCGTCGTGAGCGCCAGTGCAGTCCTTCTGAACAAGCCCCTTCACCCAGATCAGTGCTAAATGCTCCTGTTCTCCGATTGATAGAGTCGAGAGGACGGTCTCAAAGTGGTTCACGGTGTCCTCTTTCAGGTCTCTAGCCTTGTCTGCCTCGAGAAGCATCGGCAGCACTTTACTGAGAAATGCGAATCTGATGCTCTTTGGCACCAGGTTGTTGACGTCAGCGACTGCTCCCAGAATGACCGCCGAAGGTTGCAGAAAACGAGATTCCTGAGGCGAGCCTAGACGAATTTTCGAGTCATGTCCGTTTGCGACCAGAGTTGTGCAAGCTCTCGAACCCTCTGAGGTTCGTTTTTGATCAATGTAGCCGCTTGTAAAACCAGAACCCTGACAAAGTGATTTTTACGCTTTCGTCACAAGTTTTTTCTTAAGGCCTCAATCTGCTGCGAAATAGATTCCACTGAGTCACGCTCTAGTTGAATAAGATAGCACTCCACTTGTGTGTTGAGGAAGTTTCCAACCGTTCCTTTTTCCAAGACGTCTGGTGACAGGATGATCTTCTCGCCCAACCACTTTTCCAGGAAACCATGTTTTGCTTCTTGTGACAGCGAGTTGAAGATGGCCTCAATCCAATATGGTTCGAAGTAGAAATGTAGAAGCTCTGCTTGCTCGAATGTTAGCATGATAGGCACCCAGAGTCGCAGCAAGTTCGTTCGGCTCCGCTCTTCAGAAAACGGCAAGGGTTCCTCAGAAGCGCAGATGAAGAGCTTTTCAAGTGGCTTCAAGAAAAGCTGCGCGAACACGTCGAGCAGCGGCTTAGTCACTGCATCGTCATTCAGCTTGACGAATATTTCTGGAACACGACTTACAAAATTCTCTGCGTCGTCGGATGTCCAGAGAGTCTTCAAGGAGCCGAGCGCTAGCTTGTGATCAAGGCTGAAGCTGGTTAGCCAGGCCAAGCAGGAAACCTCCCGAACAAACTGCTCCAGATTTTCCTCAGGCCGAACCCATAGGAATTCCACTTGATGCAAGATTCTCGTGAACCAAGGACGCTGCAGAATCCTTTCGCTTGCAATCTGCTGGACTGTTTCAAAGTCCAAACCAACCCAGCCTGATTTTGCCTGCTCTTGTAGCACAATGCGTGGTCTTTCTGATTCGATCAGGTTGCATGTCCCGAGTTGGTCGTTGCTTTGTTCAAAGGTAGGGCCTTCCAGAGATAGAGCAGCCGCAAACAATCTGCTTACGATCTCCCGTGAACAGTCTTGCTCTTTTGGACGTTCAATCTTTCTGTCAAGTCCGTTCCCAGCTCCAACCCCAAGTTTCCAAAGCACAGATGAATGCTTTCCCGATCATTGTGGTCCCATTTTGCTGCTCCCAAGAATGACCTGCAGTATTCGATGCCAGACTCGGACGGGAAGTAGGTACATGCCTTCAGAACTGCGAGGGCGTGCTCCACCCCTTGTACGATGATTTGGCCAACAGGCGTTTTGTTCAAAACCCTACAGTAGAGCAATTGGAGAGCAAGCACGCTGGCATCCAGGTCTTGGCATCCCTCTACCACCACTTCTTGAAGGGGCTCCTGGCCTTTGGTGTCACGCTCAGAATCCCAGCGGAGGAGTGCGGCAAAGAAGGGGCTCCCTTGTCTGAGCACCGTCGAGTGGAGCGCAAGCCTTCTTGGCTCTTCCCTTCTGCAACGCCTCTTAGCAGACTCTGGCTCCTCTTCTGACCTTGCAAGCAACAGAACAACAACCACGTCTGGCTGCTGGTCACTGTTCAGCAGATCCATGCCGGAGAGGAGACTGAGCGCCTGATCCGCCGCCATGGCGTGTTGGTAGGGCGTCAAAACCTAATTGCAGACAAAAGTCGAACACTCTACCCGCTACATGCTACACCGAAGGCATCGCGTGCGCGGTCCGTTTACTTCACTTCGCGAGCGCACGCCGGGCGCGCGCGCTGGGGGACGGGCGCCGACGGTTGGCGCAGGCGCGCCACGCATGCGCGCATAGGGTCAGCTAAACCCTTGAGACGTGTCTGGATACGTCACTGGTTCGAAATGGATTTGAAATCGCGTCGAAGCTAAGCTTGTTTATCATACGTTCCACGAGGTTGCAAGCATATTCATACCGTGATGTCGATTCCTTGCTTATCAGCCCGCCATCACTTTGCTGAGGAGCAGTCTCGGAGCAGTCGATACTGACGAGAAAAGCAGGGTAGCGCTTTTAAATGCTTTCTTGCCTGCTTAGAGTCAGGGCTATATGAGCTGGCAGATTGTCTGCAGCATTCCAAGGGCTCCCATTCCAGAGAAAGTCTCTAAACGACTCTTCGACAAAGGAAGTTGGAAAGATTCTATGACCTGGCCTAGTCGAGCCCGCAGTTCAATCAGAATCTTTGAAGGTGCCTCTTCACGCGGCTCAGCTCAGTCTGACAACCATGTCGAGCAACGGCTTGATCGCTAGATTCGTCGTATCTGTAGCTTCTGGTGGGTCAAGTCGAAGGTCAGTACCACATCTGGCTGACCAGCGCTCCGAAATTGGAATGAGCACCTGCGCATCGATTATCAGTTTCCTCGACCAGTGAAGGAAAGAAGGCGCCGACCTGGCTGTTTACCTAGAGGCTGTAAGTCGAGCACATAGGATTGTTCTACTCGAGAAGCCGCTAACGATTCGAACCATTGGCACAGGGTTTGCGAGCTGGCTAGCCTAGGCTAGCTACTTTGAGCAGGATTTCATGAGCAGGAACTGGCTTCCGCGAGTCGGCACTCCTAGGTTCTCTAACGAAGCATTTGCCATGCAGGTTGAGCAAACACTTTGCGGATACCTTAACCGGCCAGCGCGCACTGCGTTTTGAGCTCGAAGATAGCGGGGATCTTTGTAAAAGGGTCCGCGCCGCGTGCTCTATGGGAAGTGCCGCCATGTCTTCAATTGAGCTGTACATTTAATCTGACATGCAACCTCTCGCATGCGGATTCACCGGACTTGTTTATCGATCTGCCTAGCTAAAACCGTCCGACCGTCTCTACTACTCTATAGGTCGATCATTTATTCGAATACGAGCAGATTAGTTATCCTGTCGCGCGGAAGATTTTAAATATCAATTGATCGGGCGCGGCACAAATGTATCCATCTAGCTGTGGCATACATTTATAAGCATGCCAGCTGCCGCGCGCATTCATACGTGAGCATCAATCATGCATGCTACGTTTCGAGTGTATTTGTGTGTACGCACTGGTACATGCGTCGAAACATTGGCAGCGTGTAACATGTTAGTACGCCAGCCTGAGGGGGGATGTACAAATGCTGACTCAGTGAGGATGAACAAAATAATTCAAGGACGAATCTAATAAACAGTATCTAGAAGAATACAAGTGCATGGGCCCGACCAGGTAGTAGACGCTACGGTACTAATCTCCATGTATTTTGACTTTTGCAAGCTAGTCAGCGACTTTTGCTGAGTCATCCGTTGTTGCCATCCCCCGATCAGCGATGTAGAGTCTTGCTCCCCCACTTCAAAGCACTGATCTGCAAAACAAGGACGTTACCAGTGGTTAATGAAAGACTCCGGGTTGCCGGATACCCAAAAGGAGATCTCCACCAGCGCTCGAGAAGAACGTTGTTGTTACACGAAGTATCTGGGTCGCCAGGTCGTGTGCCTGATTCGTGAAACCGATAATCCCGCCACAAACAAGAAATACTCCACCCCATCCTCACGGCGTTTACACGAAGCACTGAGAACAGGATTGTGGAACCCTACAGCACACGGTTTCAAACACCTAGATCTCCTTCCTTATAGGCGAGGGTCAGGAGCTAACGGCTTGGTTGGGTGAGAGCAAAGGGCAGGGTTAATTTGGGTTTAAAGCATGGTTACCCGGGTAACCATGGCAGCAGAGTCACCTTTTGAGCATTGACCCTCCTCCGTGCACTTAAAAACACCAACTGGCAAGCAGCCGACTTAGGTGCATTCCACTACGATACTCATAGGTTGCTTAGTATCTTCCGAAGCTACAATAACGAACCTAGGCTGACAAGGTCACAAACCATGCCGATGAAACGGCGTAATCTAACGAGGCTTACCTCAAAAGGGCGCCCTGTCTGATGCGGTTTCTTGACCTTAAGAAGGTAGACCGTGTAAGCACAAAGGTCTCCCAAAACCCCCAATTCTTAGCCTGGCATCTCAGTCAATAAAACTCTGAGAAGTAGACCTTAACCCGTCACGAAAAGCTTACCTCAAGAGCGCCCTGGCCGATCCGGTGCCTGGACACAAACCCGAGCACGGTTTCTGAGAACTGCTCCGGCTCGTCCTCGTGGATGGCGTGGCCCGCCGTCTTGAAGATGGTCATTTGAAACTTTCCCTGCATCTGGCCGATCGTCAGGGGTCTGCAAGAAAGTAATATTCTGAGTTTAGCGTCCAAAACGTTCAGCGCTTTGGACTCCGGCTTCATCGTTCTGGACTCGGCTCTGCGATGAAACTTGCCCTGCATCTGACCGATTGTCAGGGGCCTGCAAAAGAAGCGGGCTTGATGTTACTGCTTCAGTTTTTTGCGGATTCTGTAGTTAAATAGCTAAGATAAAGATCTCGAGGGTTCTGGCCAGTCTGTCCGTTCCCGCCAGCAGCAAAAGTTTCGGCACAGAGACCGACGGAAACCTTTTGGACGTCCGTTCGTACACATAAACCGTCCTCCAAAGGAAGGTAAACTGGACTCAGATTTTGCCCTTACTTGTCCATTCTATCAGTCCCCGCCAGCAGCAAGAGTTTGGGCACAGAGATCCACGGTAGCCTTTTGGAAGTCCTGTAAACACATAAGCCGTCCTCCAAAAGAGCGTGGAAGTGGACTTAATGTTGCTTACTTGTCCATTCTATCCGTTCCCGCCAGCAGCAAGAGTTTGGGCACAGGGACCGCTAGGAAGACGTCAGAGAGGCCCTGGTACCAACCGGCCCAGTGGGGCTCGCTCTCCTTCAGCTGCGCCCGCCACTCGTACCTGCGGCGTTAAACGAGATAAGCAGGGTTAACGAAAGTGACAAGGTCTGGTAAGGGTCTACGAAACAAAGCGGGTTAAGGAGGTTTCTCGTAGACAGTGGATTTTGGGAAGAGGCGACCGTGGGTCCTTGCAAAAGAAACCAGTTTGATGAGGTCCGAACTTTTGTATGTGTTGGCAGAACTAGATGTGCCCGTACAAGAATCACAGGGCGAAGTACGCCGGAATCGTTACAGGTCCGCTTTGCTACAAAACGAGCAAAAAATCGGCCCACGTATCCGGGTTTCCCTCACGACTATCTTTGAAATTACAAACAGCTCTCGAGTACGGGCTGACTGGAAACAAATCAAAGATGCGCCTGCGTTTCACTGAGATGACGGAAAGAGCAGTACGCGAGACAGCCCCAACACAAGCAAGCAAATGCTCGAGACACTCGCCCGAAAACTCACCGAACACGTCCAGATTATCGGGAAATATTCAAGGCGTGATCTCGATCCTGTCTCATTCTCAGCTTGATCGAAATCTCATATCAACCTAACACCTCACTTATCTCAGAAGAAGAGCAAGCAGAGGGTTGTTCAAAACGATCACCGATCAGCCTAATACCTCGCATCAACCTCAGAAGAAGAGCAAACGAGACTGTTAGGGTCATCAAAATGAAAATCACCGTTCAGGGTTTTCTTTTCGGACCATCTGGGAGGGTACGGACACCCTGGCGGACTCTTCGTTTCGGACGGCGCTAGTTCTGTGAGCCCACCGAATCTGCGCACAGACGTGTGGATTTGATAAGGGTCAAGGATGATTAGGTAGAATGAGGGCCGGTCAGCAGAGCCAGGGACCAAAAACCAATGTGGGACGGTTAGGCAGCCAGCGTAAACCCAGGATCAAAAGTACAGGATAACTAGCGGGGTGTTTTTTTAAAGCAGGGGGATCAAGCAGACTCATGCAGTCCGTTGGACTGATGGGTGAACCCAAACGGATAAAGCGGTAGTAACATAATTGTTCAAACTGCGGGGTTTGAGGTGGAGTCCAAGGACGGTCGGCCAGCTTCAATACGTTGACGGAGCCCCAGGCGTATTAGCGTCTTACAAATAAGGTGTAGCGTACTCGAGCAATAGAGGGGTAGCCGGGTACCCGGGTCAAACTTGGAGTAGCCCGAAAGTAGAGAAAAGAAGCCGCTTCTCTCAACCAAAACTGTCCAAGACTCAATGCGCTGCTAGATGGCTAGCTCGATAAGGAGTGTTTTTCCGAAGAAACAGCGGCGAGGGAGCTGACGAAAAGAACGTCCATCTGCATTCAGGCTGCAAGAAACAGATGACCAATGTACATCCGGCGTCCTTTCAGAAGAGAAAGCGCAGCCTCGTTGACAAATGGACGTTGGAATTACAAAGAACGGTTGCAGAAGTCCAAGTCCTGAGTACTCCACTTCGTCGCACCCCCTTACCGCCTCATCGAGTGACGGGAAAGACGACGGCCGCTGAGCCAGCACGCCTTGCATGAAAGCCAGGGAGGACATTGCGGTGCCCTGGATAGAGATCACACCGCACCCTTCAGATCAATCGCAAACACTTGCAATTTGTGGATTGGGGTTCTGATCGTCTTGGTACTTATGCAATTGAACTGGCATTCTCAGTTGCTCATAAATGGCTTGACTCTGCATTGAAATCTGCGGAAACGAGCCGTCGTGCTGAGCAGTCCTGCGTTTCGCGGAGGTCTCGGGCAGCGGTTCAACAATGTATGTTCGAGGAAACGTATTCCCAAGAGGTCGGCTATCCAGAACCTGTGACAACCAGAGAGTGCTTCAACGAGCAGTACATGAGCTCAGCATAGAACTCAGAATAGGCGCAGTGAATGCGGGAGAAAGCTGATCTACTGAGTGCATCTAAAGAGCACACAAACACTAGCGCAAAAAGAAAAAGTAGAAGGACTTCAGGATCGAAGGTCGAACTAGCAGCGGGCAGTACTTGAGCAGGCTCCGCTCCAAGAATCCTTAACATCAAGCTTCTTTATCAGGGCTGTATGCTGCGGCCTCTCGGGCCCCTCAATCTCGCACCCAAAATGTTGCACGGCCACTCTGAGTTCCTTGGGTGCGGACTTCATGAATCTCGACGATAACCTACACTCCCCGCCTTAGTTGAAACTATCGAACACTCTCGTCGAAAACATGATCTTGAATGTGAGATGAAGGGGCCCAAGCTTACCTCCACGACGTCGATGACAACAAGGGCGGCGAGAGTTGGTAGCTTGCGGAGCGCGGCCGTGCGGGCTGCGATGGCGCCTCCCATGCTGCAGAGGGGGAAATGGAGTCGAGAGATCAATTAAAGTGGTAGGGTTTATTGAATCAAAAGTATCAATCTGCTTACCCAAGAAGGTCGTCAGCCGTCTCGTAGTGAAGGATTCTTTCCTTATCTTAGTTCCGGTTCGTCTCAAGCAATCTGCATTTGCGCAGGGAAGGGGAAAGAGCAGGCTTGACCCAACAGATACCCTGAGATCGGCACAGTCATTCGGCCTCAGTCAAAGACCAGCAGTGTTATTCGAGTATCCCCAGCTAGGGGCCGTTTCACGACTGAACACCTCGCCAAGGTAGACTTTTGGTTCGGGGGGTGTCTTTGGAAGGATTTCAAGGAATTGCCCGCGTGCTTGAATGCAAAGTCGTAGTCTTTGAGGATCTCGAGAAGTGCATAAATGCTACAAGCATAAGCTTGCAGCGAGGCAAGCTTATATGACGCGGACTTGGGGCCGGAGTCCGACATGAGCCCGGAAGCAACCCGTTTTCATGCCAACCCTCACGTTGCTACTCTCCTTGAAAGCAGATCGGAAACGTTTCATTGAGAGCGCAGCACCACACTGGATCTGACAGCAGGACCAGAGTCCATTCTGGATTCAAAAACCCAGCGGGAGTACTCTTCATTACCAGCAAAATCCGATCGCAGCAAAACTAATGCGAACGCAGAAGCAAAGCCACTGGTCGAATACCGCAGAATAGCACGCTGCAAAGAAAAAGACGAGACGGAAGACAGACTCGTTGTACTGAGCGAAATAGAGGCAGATCCCAAAAGTAGAGCGAAAGCGGAACACCTCGGTCGATCATGTCAAAAGGTGCGAAGCACAGGCGAAGATAAGTGCATCGTCTCTGGAACAAGAATGCCTTCACGCTGATCTCCATAAGCGTGCCTGGACAAAATTCTAAACAGGAACGCTGAGATGTTGCGCACATGATGACGGCCGTTTGGTTTTATTGACAAGCTTCTGTGCAGTGAACTGATTCTCAGGACGTTGTGTGTTTTCTACACGGCCGCCCAGCCCCGGTCTCAGTAGTGCCCGGTCAAAGAAGAATAATGTTATTTCACGAAAAGCAGCAAACCCAGATGCGGTTGCAGCCAGAGAATATACCCTCAGACGCATATCCATTAAGCTTGGCATCGGAGCGGTCGCGATCTCACTGGATGCGAGCACCCAGGTTTGGAGCATTTTCTCCTCATCACCAAAAAGGACCCAGATCGAGTTGGCGCCGACATGCAGCAAAGGGTTCTCGGTTGCAAAGCCTTTCAGCCACAAAGCAGCTGCAGCTGCAACTTGTAGATAGCAAAAAGTGCTCCTGGAGAACGGAAGTCCGACATGATGAGAGGCGCCTCCGTCAATGCTAAAGAAGAAAAGACGTTCGACGGGGTGCAACAACCGTCCAAGGGAAGGACTTCTTGTACAAAAGGAAACGTCGCTCTCCGTCGAGCGACAGTCGTAAAAGAATTCGTGCCTGACTTTTCAAAACCTCTGTAAGTCGGATGACCCTCTGCTCATACGTCGAGATGATATAGAAGCCCAAGAGCAGAAAAGTGTGCCGTTTTCCACCGTATTTCAGAGTCGCGAAACCTCGGGAGAGATCAGAGTTCTTGCATCAGAAAGTCAATTAAGGACTTTGGCAAAAGTCACCCAAACAGGTGTGGGCTTCATCGCAGAATGCTAATTCGACTTTGTTTAAAACGGCCAGGAACAGCGGCAGGTTTAACGAGCTCTTCACCGATCTCAACCGTCATACACGGGGTACTTATACACAGGCGGGGTCCAACCAGTGACTCGAAGTACAAATGTTCTATTCCGATGGGATTCGGACAACCATGAAACGGTTGCAACTATTGCACCCGGAAGCGAATGTTCTTGATTCGAAGGACGCCAAGAGGGAAACGGACATTCCATGAATCTTGCAGCTCATAGCGAGTGGAGTTCGTTACCAGTCTCCGAAAACACATTCCAAGAAGGCAAACAGAGTGACGTGAGTCATATCATTTCTCCAAGGGAGGGTCGTGACTGGTGATAAAAGGATACGGAGTGTGGAGGCTGGGCAACGAGAAATCATTGTTCTATGCGTCCGCAGGCTCTCAGCATCAAGAAACCTCGTTCCCTACATGAGTTGTTCAACTCAAAAGGACGACGCTCTCATTGCCAAGCACTTCACATAATAATCTCAAACAACGGAAAGCTTGATCTGCAAAGACCCAGCAAGTCGCCGCCATCAGATACATATGCACAGATCCGACAGGTCATTTTCTCCAAACAAACAAACACTTCCATATGAGATTTTGCGCAAAACGGGCGCAAGGTAGACAGTGAGTTGTCCTCCGGCTTTAGTAAAGCTGATTTTCAATGAGAGTGGAACAGCTGCTGGGTGACGAGCCTTTTCTGCGCATGAAAAGAACTATCCGAGCATATTACTGTGTCAGCTCTGAAGTCAGAGCTAGTAAGGTACCCGGGCAAATAACATATCAAGAAGGACATGCTTGTCCTCTCAACGAGAAAAACGGACCATACGGTCAGAGAAAAAGTCGAGGCAATATGATCGGCTCAAATCAATCATTCAGGAGTCATAACATGTGAAGAAGTTGATTGTGAACACACCGAACTTGATGGCGCAGCCAGTGGAGTAGCCATTGACTCTGTTTTCGGTCAGTCAGTACGTCTTCATTCACTTTTGGATGACAGCATCAGCCAGGAAGGAGGTCAAGCCTCCCTATTCAAGAGAGTCTCGTACGATTGCGGCAGGCTATCAGGCAAATGCTTCAACCAGCGGATGGCAACAAGCAGAGGATTGTCATCAACGCAGCGACGCAATCGGGCTGAGATGACACCACAGAGTAGTATGCAAGCTTCGAGATAGAGTGAGGGGGCGTGGGCTTACAAAACATCCAAGTATGAACCTAGCACATTACCAATTCAAAATAAAGAGCATCGTGGAGACCGAAATCTGCATATAGGGAACAGGAGCGCCACAACCTTCGGCTCAAAATCGGGGCGAAGTCTTGTACTTCCCACTCCAAACGAAAGTAAAGCAGGGCGTGCTGGCTTAGAACCCTGCAAACCTCTGAGCACGTGGTCTCGTGGACGGGTCTCTTCATTGCCAGCAAGAACAGCTTCCAGCCGGAAAGTCAACGAACTCGAGGAGATCAAGATAGCTTTCAAAGTCCGACGAGGTCAATCGATAACAGCCGACCACAGTGGATTAAAATATGAATGATAGACTACCCCACCGAGGCAAAATAACGATCGGAAGGAACCAGCATGCGATATTATCTTCGGGTAACGGGACGAAAGGTTTAGTACCCTCACTTCAGTTTCGCCCCTCCCTCCGCTTTCAGACTGGGGCTTGTCGAATCCATTGAGGAGCAGAAGGTGCGGGAGATTTTTTCATGCGCAGGGGCCAGGGTCAACGCGCCAGAATCAACAAGCGGCATGAAAATCGCGTCTTAAAAAAGTGTAAAGTAACGATCCGTCGGTCTTACCTGTGACCGATCAGAACCACTGGCGGCTGGTCCTCTTTCTTGTCCCCGAACATCGTCGTGAAAATACGGACAGTGTCCTCACACAAGGTCTGCACTGAAACAAGAGCGGAGTCTCAGGACGTCATTTTCCTCACAACGCGGAAGCAGTTGACGGGGAGCCGACATCTCGCTCGTTGTCCGAAGCATCTGGAGTAAGTGGGTGCAGACTTCACCTTCGAGGCGGACTACTGACAGAGTGGGGTCAAGGAGAATCAGTCATTTCTGGACCGGGGCCGGAGGTGCTGTTGGAAGGGCTGACGTGGCGGGGTTTAAGGCGAAACCCTTGGGCTAGGCTTCTTTCGACCAATCATTGATCTGGAAGCCTAGGTCAAAACCCTAAACCTCGCCACGTCAGCCCTTCCAACAGCACCCCCGGTCCGGGTCCTAAAGTTACTGATTCTCCTTGACCCCGCTCTGACATTTGCAAATGATTTCCAGGCGCCCAGTCTCACACGACCGCACGTATCACGAGCTTCGGACTGTTTGAGAACCAGGTAAAGCCCAAACGGAAACGCAGACATGGCTCTGAAGCTGCCACTAATGAGCATCTCGTCGCTTCTCTGAACGTTCGGCTGCTACAGCACTGCCAACACCAGGTTTGCAGCGGTATCTGAATACTGTGCGGCCACAATTTCTCCCACGTACGCTCTTGTCGTTCGATTCGTGCAGATTGGACATGTTCGCGATCCTCATCTGATAAGCGGTTCGTTAGTCGTAATGATTGCCAGAACGCTCGAGCTCTGCGTTTTACTTAAGAGTGTCATATGCATGCAATCGTCACAGAGCGACGAGGAACAGTGATGTCAGGACGTAGAAACGAACTGCTCACTTCTGCAGAGAGATCCGCATCGTCGCTCGTGCGCGTACGACCATGCCCGCGCAGGTCCGGAGCAATGACCCGACACGTGGCCTTCATGTGCGCAGCAGCCGTGGCAAAGGACACCCTGCAGAAAGAAGGACGTTTGACACGTACATTTCTCGCAGATAGACTTGACAGTTCAACAAAGGATCGTTGTGTTAACAGCCCGCTTAATGCCACCTGTCAGCGGCTCATTGATCTGTTGCCCGTCGACTGAGTGTCCATTCACGGGTTGTGCCAACGTTGTTTCAGCGACGAAGAAAAACAAAGTGCTCAATCAAATCTGCCGCAGAATCACATGCACAGACGCTTTGTGGATGAAACAATGGACAGACTTCCCTGCTGGCCCAAGTCAAGCCATGTAGAGAAAGTTTACCAGTTTCTGTGACCTACCAAAGTCCCTACCTGTGAGTTCGGTATGCAAGTGCCAACTCCTTGACATCATAAATGATAGGCAACCGGCGCTTCGAGCCATAGTTATGGCAGGAGGGAAATCAAACAAGGGACAATAAAGCCTTGTCCTGTCGTCCTTTGTTTTCTTTTGCCAGTCCACTGCTAACCGTAAGAGAGTTGTACGATGATGGACGTATAAAAAGGGTGTTTCGAAGAAGCACAGCTGCATTGCTTCAACAGCAATCAAGCAACGGCAAAAACATTTGAGACACGGGGATTGATGTTTACCCTGTATAGCCGCCTCCGTGCAAGCATAAGAGAACAGGGCCCTCCTTCCCCGCAGAATATACGTGGAACATCTGGAAATCGATTGGCAAGACTACCGTGAACCAATAGAAAATACTCGACAGAGTGAGAATTTGTGGTCGGTCAATAGATCCTGCGTAGTCAGAGGGTATAAAATATGTTAAGAGAAAGACTCGTACAGGTGGGCTGTTTGGTACAGGGATTGCAGAGGAACCAAGAGGCCACTCTTCTGCAATGGTCGCTCAATGTTTTCAAACACAACGGCGCCAACCGGGACCTCGGATGCTTGATAAGCAGCTGAGCACGTAATGATGCCCGAAGAAGTGGTGATCATCCAGGTCGTTTGCAAGTGTTGCGACTCTTATGCAGTGCTCTGGGGGAGACCAACCCAGTGCAAAGCCACCAACAGACTAATCAGATGCTTCGATATTGGAGATTGACAACAAGCTTACGTCGGTAGTGCCGGCAATCTCGACATCCCTCTCCTCATCAAAGTAGTTGCTCCAAGGCAATGGTCCATATCTGCTGTCTGCTTGCCTGCAAGGACAAGAGTCTTGTCAATCACGCTTGTTTCTGTCCCCAAGTCTTTTGACGCCCCGGTATGAGATCTGGTGATCCATATAGGACTCTGGCTTTGATTAGCATGATATTTGAGAGGGAACGTGCTGAAAAGGTGCAAATACTCAATCAGCATACGATTCTGTGTTTTTTTGACTGTGCCTTCAGTGGTGCGGTGGTTGCATTGGTCATTTAGCAGCACCAGGCGCGAATCGAAGTGTCGTTATAGACCTACTGATCGTTTCTTTTTCGTTGAGTTCCAGGAACGGGTTGTCCAGGAAGACACAACTTATGCTTGTAGAGGATTGCAATCACATTTGCAAAACAGCTAAGCTTGGCACGTTCGGCAGCATTGACACCAGGAAGATGATCGAACAGGGTCTGACGCATCAATGTTTGTATGCTTATATACAGAATGCAATTGACATCTCCCAGAATGTGATGTTTTACTTGCATCCATATTGCTGCTTGTATGTGTTACTTTTCATAGTGCTTGGCTTGTCAATCCCTCCGAACTTCTGACACCAATTCAATGAGATGTAGAAGAGACAGCTGGTTTTAAGAGTTGCAGCGTTCACGTTTAAAGAGAGGACCATTTGTGACCACAGCTCAGATGGTGGCACCAAGAGAGGTTGTGAAAGCGATGCACAATCCTGCATTCAGAGGCATTGGAACTCGATGGAAGAGAAGCTTTCCAATCAGCCCTTGCTTGATATTGTTAATTGCTGCGGGCGCCACAACCACTTGAAACCACCCTGATCTAGGTCAGAAAAACTTTAATCAACTTCGGAAGAGGCTGTACATCAATCATCACAAAATGGAAGAACAAAATGCAGGACACACTTGGTCAATGCTTCCGCAACCGTCGCTCTGCTCTCAGCCGCTTCTGGAGACGCCGAGCTTTCATCGCCAGTGATGGTATCTTCTTCGATATGCCCCAGCTCCTGTGTTGACGTGTGGGACGCTTCTCCCATGTTTGACTTGCCAGGAGCACCCCGGGGCTTCGGTGGCCGAGACAAACCAGACATTCCTCCAGAAAGGCTGAAACAATGAGGTTGCGGATGTCACCCGTCAATTGCACCGACACGACCGCTCAGGAAAAGAGCAGAAAACGTTTCCTTGCCACCACTGTCCTGCTTCAATTAAGGTCGAACTTCCCTAATTCGCGACTCAAAACCCTAAAACCCTGGTTTGAAGACGTCTTCATGCATAGCTCGAGCTTCGCTTCATCTTTTTGAGATCCGTCTTTTGCACATGAAAGGATACATCGAAAGGAAGCTGCAAAGCCCTAGTCGGCGAAAATCAATAGCTCTAAGT